AAGAGACGAGAGAAAAAATCTTCATAATCAGCATCCTTATCTCTCTAAGACACAGTGTTTTCCAATCAAATATCCCCCCCCCCCCCCCACTCCCTTTCCTTACAGCGCCATTGTCCAATGCGCAACCTAGACTTAGTGTCAAGTTCGTCAACCTATACTCTAAAATTCAAATCCTATCAAATAACGACATCAAAATCCCTTTTAATTCATTACACTACATCTTTTTTTCTAATCAACCTGTCTAATTCCTCTTTTTTTCTATCAATCTGTCTAATTCCTCGCCTTGTGGAAAGAAAACAAAGAAGAAACGCTTTACCTCAATCTCTATAACGCGACCCTGATCTAGAATATGGCGCTCACATCGGACGAGTTAAAGTAAACCTCGAGAAATATTCTTTCTTTCTCGGGACTTCGTGGTCGATGGAGAACAATGGGAGGAGAAGTGAAAAGGAACGAGATAGATAGAGAGAGAGAGAGAGAGAAAAAGAGAGAGAGTGTGAGAAAGATAGAGAGAGGGAGAAAGAGAGATAGAGAGAGGGAGAGAGAGAGAGAGAAAGAGAGAAAGATAGAGAGAGTGAGAAAGAGAGAGAGAATGAGAAAGAGAGAGATAGAGAGAGGGACACACACACACGCAGAAAGAGAGAGAGACAGAGAGAGAGAGAGAGAGAGAGAGAGAGAGAGAGAGAGAGAGAGAGAGATGAAGCGATTGAACGACCACGAACGAGGCAAAAGAAGAGGAAACGAAAACAAAATACAGAAGAGTAAGAAGACTTCGGACAATATCAACACGTAAAAAAAAAAGAAATTTTAGAAAAAGAAAAGCGAAGATACGGACGCGAGAGGATGCCTGAAAATCGTGGGAAAGAACACCTCCTAGATTTTGCATCACCGTGTTTGCAAACCTTTTATGAAACTTGCAGTTGCAAAGGTTCAGCTTAGGGATTCAGGCCCTAATGATCTAACCTTATCTCTCTGTAATCAGAAGTTACGAAAACTGACTATCCCCCCCCCCCCTCGTAGCGAAATAATAATAATGAATATTCTCCAACAACACAACTTGAAGAAGCAATTAAATGGAATATTTATAGCCATTCATCTCTCTCTCTCTCTCTCTCTCTCTCTCTCTCTCTCTCTCTCTCTCTCTCTCTCTCTAATGCAAGTCTTATCTATCTATCCTATCTTATCTATCGCGCATTTATTTCTCTACTATCTCGCCCAGATATCCGCCTACTAACAAAAGGGACATTGTGAAATCGTCCTGCATTTTGGGAAAGGAAATAAAATCAGTATACACGAAGGGGTGGAGGGGGGGGGGGAGATGACGAGCGGAAATGCTGAAGTTGATACAGTATAATAGGTATGATTCATACATCCAAATACACGTGATACATCCAAATACACGTGATACATCCAAATACACGTGATACATCCAAAATACACATATATGCCTACAAAGGGACACACAAAGACACAACTCTACAAACACAATCGCACAAGAACATAATCACACATGATACAGACATACGTATGATATACGCTCACACACACAGAACAAAGATAGACATGAAATACACTCACACATAACATAAAACACACACGCAATTCAAACACACAACACACACACACATGAAACACACTCACACATAAACACACACACATGAAATACTCACACACAACACTAAACACACACACACAACCACACACAACCCCCCACACACACATACACACAACAAACCCTCCACCACACACACACAACCCCCCTCCCTCCCTCCCACACACACACACAACCCCCCTCCCTCCCTCACACACACACACACAAACCCTCCACACACACTCACACTCACACGCCCCACTACGAAAGCGTGAGAAAATATGCCTCTTATCTTAAAAAAAACTGATAAGAAATCGCCTTTCTTACACCTGCCTTCTCTTATCTCGGGGACAGGATACAGCTCGAGAAGCAGAGGCTGTTTACCCGAACTTCTGTTAAACGACGATAATGTCACAATACTTCATGGTGATGGTGATGGTGCTAGTGATGAGGGGGAAGAAGATAATGATAATGGTGGGGATGATGATGATGGTGATAGTGATGAGGAGGAAGATAATGATAATGGAGGTGGTGATGATGATGATGGTGCTAGTGATGAGGAGGATAATGATGGTGATGGTGATGATAATGATGATGATGATAGTGAGGATAATGAAGGTTATGATGATGGTGATGGTGATTATGATGGCGATGGCGGTGATGGTGGTGGTGATGAAGATGATGATGATGATGATGATGATGATGATAATGATGATAATGATGATGATGATAATGATGATGATGATAATGATGATGATGATAATGATGATGATGATAATGATGATGATGGTGATGGTAATGATGATAATGGTGTTGATGGTGATGGTAAAATATATATATATGACAAGATTATCAATTGTCTTTACTTTTGCTAATAACAGTATAAACACGCTATACAACAAATAACTAAAATAAACAAAAAACAATAACAATAACAACAATCACAGTATTAACAACCACAAGAGAACAAATACTATTCGCACTATGCATCACAAAAGTTAACAAAATACAAAAGTAATAATAACAATAATCATGATCTTTATAATTACCATTTAACTGTTTTATCTATCATTATTATTTTTATGATCATTACTATCATCATTATCAAAATATATTACTATTGCGATTACTTTTTAAAATATTAGTATCATCATAATTACTATTAAATATATTACTATATAACATTCACCCAACCGTTGTTATTACTTTCAAAATTATAGGCATTTTAATATATATAAGTAATGATAATGTCTACGGATCTTTTTCATCAATATCAATGTTACTGATGTTGTATTATCATCATAATCATTATCAAAATTGCTGTAATTATTATCATCATCATCATCATTATCATCATCATCATCACGATCATTATTACTTCTATTACTATTATTACTACTGCTATTATTATTGTTATCTTTAGTATCATGGTCATTATCAATTTTCCTATCACCACAATCATCAGCGATATTATATTCATTATCTGTATTATCACTAGTGATTATTTTCATTTCTATAATTATCATTATCGTGTTACAAAAAAAAATCTATAATGATTAAGACAAATGACGAATCCGAATGTGATATAAACAGAAATAAGAAAAAAAAAACTATTTTTTTAATATGCACATTCTAGTTTGAAGTCAAATTATAAGAAATATCGTATATACAGTTTTGGAATGCGACTTATGTCATCCGAAATTTTATATGTATATCACAGACGATGAGATTACAGACTGTAAAATAAATGCGCTTAAGAGTGATCTCCTTAACAAAGTTTAACGGAAAATTCCTAATCGACCGAATCTGAACTGGGCGATTCTCTCTCTCCCTCTCTCTTTCTCTTTCTCTCTTTCTCTTTCTCTCTTTCTCTTTCTCTCTTTCTATACACACACACACATACACATATATATACGTATGTGTATGTCTATCTATCTATGTTTTCTCTTAAGCGTCCTAGAAAATTATTTATTTTCCATCTTAGAAGAAACAGCTTGATATATATATATATATATATATATATATATATATATATATATATATATATATATATATATATATATATATACATATACACACACACAAACCATACATACACACACACGCGCACACACATTACATAAATGTACGTACAATTCCACACATTTCTATTTACATACACGTAAAGATAAGCCATAATGAAAATCTATTTCTTTCCAAACCCTATACATATTTATTCTCGAAGATCCCTTTTCCGCCCATTTCCCTGTCCTCGGCTGCCGTGGGCGTAAACGAGAGGTGTACTTTATAACGGACAATCTACGTCTCATTTAGGACTTTTGTGTTTTCCAGTAGAGAAGTACGCGCGTATGTATGTGTGTATGTGTTTGGGCAAACGTACACGCATACACACGCGCACATATATAATTGCAGTTTTAAATAAATATATTAAAGTGATCGAGATCGAGAACTTGTTAATACAAACCATATTCTAATTCACATAATCACTAATTCAACGCAATCGAATTAATTATAAATATATATATATATTCTCTAAATATTTACTCATTCTCAGAACAATTTCCGTAATGACAATAATTACAATAAAACCCGTGTTTTCATGCGCGACATTGTTAATTTAAATATGCACCTCCCTACGCGTCGCCAATGAATAATATAAAAAAGACAGATATCGGGAAAAAAAATATAATTAAACGTGACTAAAATAATCTATAGATAAAACCCAACGATAAAATAAAAATCATATATAAAACGAATCATTAAAAAAAATCTAGAATGAGAGGCGATTCATAAAGACCTCCGCAATATATACAAAATTCACGCTTATATAAGAAAGAAAAGGATTAAAAACAAGTAATATAAAACGTTTATATTGGTAAAAAAAAAGGAAGAAGTTTGAACGACAAATGCACAGACATCTCAAAGATTCGAAATAAAGGTGCATCTCGCTCGTCATCTCAAAAGCGATTCGAATCTCTCTTGAAAATCCGTGTGAATCGATTCCCAGCGTCGGGTGAGATTCGATTACTTGTAGATACGTCGATTGTTTCATCTATATATCTTTTTAATATTACAAAAGCGATTGCTTTTTTACGTTTTTTTGGTGGTTTTGTTTTTTTTTTTGTTTGTTTGTATAAAAAGCTGAAGTGGGTTTTATCTTATCGATTTACGGAGGAAGACAGGAGAAAGGGAGGAATAAGAAAATATATTTATTTTACAGAATAATTAACCGTAATAGCTCTCTCTCTCTCTCTCTCTCTCTCTCTCTCTCTCTCTCTCTCTCTCTCTCTCTCTCTCTCTCTCTCTCTCTCTCCCTCTCTCTCTCTCTCTCTCCCGTAAATACTTCCAGAGCGAGTGGATGCACCTGTACGTCTGTGTGCGCGTGCCCGGGCATTGAAGTTTTGGGAAGTCAACCACTATGTGAACGGGTGTTTCTAGGTCCGTGTATGTGTGTTTTATATGCGCACACACACGCGCACACACACGCACACACACACGCACACGCACACACACACACAAACACACACACACACACACACACACACACACATATATATATAAATATATATACACACATATATATGTATACATATATATATGTATGTATATAATATATGTAATATACATGTATGTATATATAAATATATGTATATATGTATATATAAATATATGTATATATGTATATAAATGTATATATGTGTATACAAATATATATACATACATATATATATATATATATATATATATATATATATATATATATATATATATATATATTAATATGTATATATAGACATATATATATATATATATATATATATATATATATATATATATATATATATACATATATATACATATATATATATATATATATATATATATATATATATATATATATATATATATATATATATACACAAACATACACGGACCTAAAAATACATGTTCACATTCTCGTTGAATGTGTCCATGTATATATCTATATATGTATATTTATATCTATATATAAATAATATATATATATATATATATATATATATATATATATATATACATAAATATATATACATATATACTTAATCATATATACACATATATACATATACACATATACACATACCAATGTGCATGTTTGCAAAGCTATGTATCTGTGTACGTGTACCGTATATACGCACATGTCTTATCGAAGCCAAACGCCACGTGTGTCCGTAACTCAATTAATTTTCAAATAAAACACATACCTCACGTGTCTTTGTGCAATACGCCGTTGCACCAAAGGACTGCAACTGATTATCTAATGACAGGGCGATCATCAACCCCCGTGTTACTTTAGGCGAAGGTGGACCGCGCTAATCCGAGGGCATTTATTGTCATGTGACAATGACAGAGCGGAAGTTGCGTAAGTTAGTAAATGTTTCTATAAACTGAGGGAGGGTGGGAGGGAGGGAGAGGGAGGGAGAGGGAGAGGGAGAAGGAGAGGGAGAGGGAGAGAGAGAGAGAGAGAGAGAGAGAGAGAGAGAGGGAGAGGGAGAGGGAGAGGGAGAGGGAGATATGTGTGTGTGTGTGTGTGTGTGTGTGTGTGTGTGTGTGTGTGTGTGTGTGTGTGTGTGTGTGTGTGTGTGTGTGTGTGTGTGTGTGTGTGTGTGTTCGCGCGTTTGTACACGACCACGACCGAATTAAGGGAGACAAATGTAGGCCTACATAGCTCTTCTCACCCACGCCCGTGCGTCCCCAGGCGTGCGGCGGGGCATGTGCACGGGCGCCACGCACTTACTCACCTGAACCAAAGCGGCGAGGAGGAGGACAGCCCCGGGGAGCCACGAGAGGCCCCGAGGTAGCCCCGGGCACACGGGCACCATCATCGCCATCGCTGTCACTATCGCACTCTCAATAATCGTTATCTGACCATATCGCCTGCAGGTAAACGCAAGCAAGCAAGCACTTTCCCCCCCCTACACAGGTCGACGCAGGTCACACTACAGGTCACTACGGCACTGCAGAAGGTCAGACGGAAATCGCACAGTCTGTTATTATCTATTATCTTTTTCTTATTTTTATTTCTGTCACTTTATGTAGTTCTGTTGTTCGGCATAACTTTTAATTCCTTTTTTTTATTTTCCTTTTTTTCCCTTTTTCCTATTTCTAATTCACATCGGTTTCTCCGTAAGAATCACTATGAATATTTGTTAAATATTAGTATTTATTCTTAATATTTTTTTTCTCACGATAGTTAGAAATTCTCTGTTTTCTTTTTCTTTTTCTTTTATTCTTTCTTTTTCACGAATTTAAGGCACAGCGAAAAAAATCACTTTTTTTTTCTCTCTTCCTATCTTTCTCTGTTTTTACGTTCTTCCTCTTTTCTTCCTTCTCTTTTTTATTTTTCCTCTTTCTTTCTTCCTTTTTTTCTCTGAACTAGAACTCCATCGGCCAATCCTGCAACGCCTCCCTCCTGCAACCGGCAAATTGCAGCGGAAGCGAGAATCACACGAGGCTTCACTCCGCACTAATTTCTCTTTTATTTTCTCTATTTCTCCTTTTCTCTCTTTTCTTTTCTTTTTTTCTCTCTTTCTTTTAAAGAAATTAAAATAAAAATCTCTCACCGCACTTCTCAATTCACCTGTTTCTTTTTCCGTTTTTTTATCAATTATTTCTTTTTCGTTTTCAAATGTGAGAGACGATTTTTTTTTTAATATAAATAAATTAATTAAATAAAAAAAACGAATGACTCTCTAAGCAAAGACGGAAAAGACCGACGCCCGAGGGAAGGTCTTCCTCCTCCTCCTCCTTCTTCTTCTTCGAGGGCGAGGTTTGGGCCGCCGTCCGAGGGGGAGAGAGAGAGAGAGAGAGAGAGGGCGGGCGAGCGGAGGCCGAGGGCGCGGGCGTGGTGTCGTCGCTGCACCAGCCAA